ACTTTTTTTTTTCGTCAAAAATATTTTAATTAATATTACTGTATTCGTTGCTAAATTACTGTCTCCAGCAGTTATTTAACTGTTGGAGACAGTGATTTAATTGTTAATTGACTTTTTTATTCTTAAAAAAAATATTTTTAATTAATATTACTGTATTCGTTTGCTAAATTACTGTCTCCGGCAGTTATTTAACTGTCGGAGACAATAATTTAACTGTTAATTGACTTTTTTTTCATTTTTTTCTTAAAAAAAATATTTTAATTAATAGTACTGCCTTAGATGCTAAATTACTGTCTTCAACAGTAATTTAATTGTCTTAGACAATAATATTAATAATATTACTGTTCGGAAAAATAATATTCATAATATTACTGTCCCAAACAGTAATATTACTGTCTGAGACAGTAATTTAGTAGCTAAAACAGTAATATTAATTAAAATATTTTTTTCTTCTAAGAAAAAAAAAATTCACATAAAAAAAAAAAAGTCAACGCCGGAGACCGGCGGTCAACGGTGGTTGACCGACCGGAAAAAATTTCAGGAAAAAAAAAGTTTTCAAAAAAAAAAAAAAAAAAAATCAACGCCGGAATCTTGCCGGAAAAAAAGTATTTCAGAAAAAAAATTATTTTCTGAAAAAAAAAAGTTTTGGGGGTTAATGTGATATATTTCTTTAAATACGGGGTCAATGTGTAATATTAAGGAAGTTAGAGCATAATGGGTGGAATTGATAAGAATTATATTATTGAGGGTATTTTGGACTAAAGACATGGCGATGGGCTTAATTGAGAGACTGTTTTTTTTGTGGACTAAAATGCATTTAAGTCCCATGTGATGGGCCTTTTTGCCGTTCGCCCTTTAATCATTGATGGGCTTGGAAATATTTTATGTCCTTTTACGAAAAAAAATTGGTCCGGGCCTTTTTGCCAAAAAAAGTTATTTAGTATTTTTGTCCGCAACCTTTGTAACTTCAGATTTCATATATTTTTTTAGGGGTTATTTTACATACCCCAAACCACCAAATAAATTATGGATAAATCCAAGCCCCAATCATCCTTTGACATACCCATGGGGAAGCGAAAGTACTACACTACCCTTATATGCAATTTTCGGTCAAACTGCATTCAACATTTTTGGTACTGCATTTATTATTTTCGCTGATTTATTTATTATTATTTATTTATTTTATTTTTTAAATAATAAACATGTTTGTTAAATGTATATATATTTATTTTTTTAATTTGTTTTATATTTTTAAAAAAGTTATTAATTTTTTTAATTTTTTAATTTTTTAAAACAATATGTTTATTGTACTGAAAATAACTACATGTAACTATAGTACCTATAGTAATTCATAGTTATGTTCGTTTTTTTTCCTCATATTTTTAGTCGATCAGTTGTATACACACACGAATACTGGCTTATATAAAAGAAATTCATAAACACCAACAAAAATTTACAAAATTCAATATTTTGATTATAAATCACCTCAGAACCAATAAAATACAGATCGAAAATACACAAATATATGCATATGTAACTACATGTTACTATATATATAGTAATGTATAGTAATATGTAGTAATGTATACAGTTTGTTAAGCATTGCTTCACATGTAACTTCAACCAAATTTTTGAAACCTTCAAGGAGATGATCAATGGATTTCATTAAGCTGCAATTGCAAAATCAAAACGAAAGAAATTACTTCAAATTAACAAAATTTGAAGAAACATCAAAACACTCAAAAAATCAACAAACACTAAGAGATCGAGAGATAGAGACAGAGGTTATTGCTGGGAAATGCTACATATTTTAAATCAAACATACAGTGACTCCTCACCCCCGTCGCCTCCTACCAAACCCCTAGGCGCCGCTTATTACCACTCACGGTTCCGCGCGCCACAAATGAAAGAAAATATAGAAATAAATCTGAAAACATAAAACAACGAAATTACCATCAAAATATAGATCTCGACGAGAGGAATCCAAAGGAGGTAGCCTGTCAAATTTCGACTGGTGGAACACAAAATACATCTCCGGCAAGACCACCGTCGTCGAATGAAAAAAAATTGCAGAAACAGATTTGCGCTCCAAACTGAATGAAATTACCACCAAAAGAAAGAGCTCGACGAGAGGAATCCAATGGTAGTTAAACCATCAAATTCCGACCACCGGAGAGAGAGTTATAACTCCGGAAGCAATTTCGCCGGTGAGAGGTTTGTGGAGGCGGGATTTTGAATCTGGGAGAAGAAGAGAGAGACCGAAATGTGAGTGGCTAGGGTTTAAAACTGATTTTAAAAGGGTAATATAGGAACTTCGTGGTGGTCAAGGGGTATGTCAAAATATTTTCGAAATGAGGGGGTTTTCCCCTAAAGTGTAATCCACTTGATAGTTAGTTCTATATAATTTTGAAATGAGGGGGTCTACAAAATAATATCATTTTTTTAATTTCACTAAGAAAGATAGTAGAGGGAAGTTATGAGAATGTACAATCTTATGGTAATCACGTTTATTAAGATGGTTTTAACTAGAGTTATGACCGGAAATTGAATTGAGAATATCCGAAGCCAGATTGTTTGGCTCGACTTTATTTGAGCCGGGCCTAGCTAACTATGAGTCTGGTCGAGTTTGAGTTATTTTATTAAATACGACCCATTTATGAGCCGAGTTATTGAGTCTATTGTGGCTCCACCCGAATAAGGCATTAAGTAAATAACTAAAAAGAGTTAAGAGTACATTTAGAATTAATCCTATTTATTTTACATTTCTTCATTTTGGACTCTCATGCATTTTTGGTTATATTACTTACTCAAGGATTAAATATTTGCAACTTTAAAGTTCAGTCTTTTTAAGGAATAGAGTATGGTTTTATTTTACAATGCGACTATAGTTTTTAACTTATTTTACTCTTCATGACTATTCTAAATTTCCTTCCTTAGCTTTTCGATAATTGTGAAGGTTCCTTTTTTTACACGTTCGATTGCAAATTAAAGTTGTAAAGTATATAATTGTACGATACGAGCCCGATATAAATCCAAAGACCAAATAATACATGAACCGAGATTGAGCCTATAGTAATGAGGTCCGATAGTATATGAGCTTAAAGGCTCGTTCGGTTACTACTATAAGGTTTTATTGACTAAATAGTAGGGGCTAATAACACGTCCGGTTGACAAGATGCACACTTTTTCAAACCCACTACTAAATCAAAGTCCGCTATTAAATGCTACTATTGCATTAAATTAGTAGCACCCTTCCTCTAGAGATTAATTTAATTGGGGTGATTAAAAAGGGAAAAAAACAATTTTATCCTTAAAATCATATCGTATTATTTTAAACTAAGTGGTTTTATAGACAATTCATATATAATAACTGAATTTAACAAATTTAATAGAAGATCTAATCTAAGAAACCGAACATGCTACTAACTAAATAATTAATTAGCCATTAGAGAGTTAATCCAATCTAAATTCAATATAGGTAACAGAACAAGCCCTGAGTCTATAGTATTGAGACCCGATGATATATGAGTTTGAGCCAATCCAAGTTCGGCTCACATGGCCCGATTAACAGCCCTAGAAAGCACTAAACATTCTAACTATTAATTAGGTTTATAAAAATATATATGTTAATATAATTGCTAAATGAAAAGTAAGAATTTAATTAAATTGTACATAACTTCTTATTTCTCGAGTTACATATATGATATGATCTTTATTCAAGTTAACAGAATCAGCCGGATTTTATTTCCTTGTACAAATACGGGGCCTAAAAATGTACTTGGATTTTGGATAATGACAATATAAGTGATCGATTTATTCACAGTTTCACACAGTTTTCAGTTGTAGTTTAACAAGGTAATTAATCTTCCCAACCAGTTAATGAAGATTATGTACTAATTAATGAGATATTGATGCAATTAAAGTGTTGATCCATTTCGCCCATATATATATATTAATCATATTCTTCTTCATTATTCTCCATAAATTCCATTAGATACAGCAAAATATAATATGGATTTCAAATTTGCTTATTCCTCTCTCTTTGCTTCTGTTTTTTGGTTCTTGTGCGTAATTAGCTACGCTAATGGCGAAAACGAGATTTTCGAAATTACCGACTACGGCGCCGTTTCCGGTGGAAAAACCGATAGCACCAATGTACGTAACTCATTTTAATTTTATATATAGCAATCATATATCCTTTTGTTTTTGTATATAATATAATACATGTTACGTATACATACACTTTCAGATGTGTACGCATTAGCAGAGCCAGAATTTTAAGTTCACTGCATTAAAAATTTTATGAGGGGCGCTGATAATGTTTTTTATATATATACAATTTTTGTAACATTTTTATATAAACTAACAGACATTTGAGAATTTTTAAGTTCGACGGGGCAAACGCATTAAAAAATTATGATGGGGGCCGATAATGCTTTTATCCACAACTTTTTTAAAAATTTTATATAAAATAATAAAGATTTGTGAAATGTGCGCGGGGGGCCATGGCCCCCTCTAACCCTGTACTGGCTCCGCCACTGACTGCACGTACGTAAAATCTACTGCTTATATACATAATTGATGAATATAAATATGTATTTGTAGGCTTTGATGAGTGCATGGAAGGAAGCATGTGCAACAAATGGAGGGGTAGTGTCAATCCCAAATGGAATATTCTTTTTGAGAGGTGCAGTATTTGAAGGACCATGCAATGGAGAAACCTATTTTATGATAAAGGGAACCCTAATTGCTTCGGATGATGCTTCACTTGATGAAGATTATTGGATCCTATTCCATAAGGTAGATGGATTGACTATTTTCGGTAACGGTACTTTCGACGGCAATGGAGCAAAGGCTTGGTCGTACAATACGTGCGATCGATCCACCAGTTGCAAACGACCCCCCTCGGTAATATAATAATCCCTCGATAGATTCTTCGTTTTTCTTAGAAAAAAATTTAAAAAAAAATGTTACGATTTTGTCTATATATATTAACAAGACTTCGATTAATATTACAGTCGATTAAGTTGAATACTCTCCGTAACACGGTGGTGAGAGAGATCAATTTGCTTAACAGCAAGATGTTCCATCTCACCATAAACGAGTGCGACAACCTGAGCGCGAACAGCATCGACATACGGGCCCCAGCCGACAGCCCGAACACGGACGGGATCCACATCGCGAGATCGAACAACGTAAGGGTGACCGACTCTCGCATCTCCACAGGGGACGACTGCGTGTCGATGGGAGACGGAAACACAAACGTCAACATCACAAAGATTTGGTGTGGGCCCGGACACGGGATTAGCATCGGAAGCCTAGGGAAATATAAAGAGGAAAAAGATGTTAGTGGGATATTTGTCGATAACTGTACTTTTACGAAAACCAATAATGGATTGAGGATCAAAACGTGGGCCCCGTCTACAGTGTCCACCATCGTCTCCGACGTTACTTTTTCGAATATTCTTGTGGATGATGTCGAGAACCCTATCGTAATCGACCAGTACTACTGCCCAAACAACCTTTGCAGCCATCAGGTGCGTAAAAAAAATGATTTTATTGTATTTAGTACCCCTTGCATCACATCCAATTGCTAAATTAATTCTTGTTTTATAAATACTAGTCAAAGAAATCGAAATCTTGAATTATTTTTTTTTCGGTTTTTTTTTTTTTTTTTGTTACGTACGTGTTTGATTAAAATATTGTTATAGGGTGAGTCGGACATAGAAATCAGCGGAGTGAAGTTTGTAAATATAAAGGGAAGTTCGGAATCGAAAGTTGCGGTGGACGTACAATGCAGCAAGAAGAAGCCATGCAAGAACATCGAGTTTGTGGCTCTTAATTTGACAACAAAGGCGACGGGACAACCTACGACGGCGTCATGCTCCAACGCCGACCACAAATTTATCGACCCGAGTGTTCAAGTTCCTTCCATGTGTTCGTGATCGATCGATGATTGGGTGGTTTAGTTCTATTTATTATTATTCCCCGGTATAATTCACCTGGTGTAGCATTATAGTTTTAGCTAGTACCGGTGTGAGGCTGATTAATTAAGGCTTATGGGGATTTAGTCATAGTTTTTTTTTTTAATTTTGTTAGTGTTTATTATTAGAATTTTTTGGGTGCATTTAATTAAATCATGTGCCTAGTGATAATTGAGCAGTTTGGTGGAAATTGCAGTTTTTAATACTATTGTGTTTTTTTTTTTTTTTTTAATTTAATCAATTGAATATTGGTTATTTGCATCTTTAATTGGGACATAAATGGATCTTTGTTTGGGTTGAACTTGAGAATGACTGCAAACAAAACATTATTACAACCCTTTTTATGTATCACCGGAAGGTAACACGTGCGTTGCACGTGTGTTATGATTTTTGCTGATTAATTATTAATATTAATGATTTATTTCATTAAAATTAGCATTAACAAATCTTCATATTTAAAAATTTAAAAATCAGTGCATCAATATTTAAATGAAATGCTATTTGCGGTCACAAAATTGCTATTCGCGGTTTCTAAGCAATGGGGCACAAAAAAACCCCCCAAAACTGCAAATAGCAAAAAAAAAAAAAAAAATTCGAAAATTTGAAATCAAGCTTGAAGAAGGGTTGGGCTTCGATTTTTTGATGTAATTTCGACTCTTTTATGTGTAATATGCATTGGGTAGGTCAATTACGGAACCAATTTCATGTTAAAAAGCCCTACAAATCGATTTGTAGGGATTTAAAAAAAAAAATTAAATAAATAAATAAAATTTTTGCACTGGACCGCCAACTCGGGCGCCCAAATGCAGTTTGCACGCCCAACTTGGGCGTGCACTGCATGAATGGACGCCCAAGTTGGGTTTTTACGCGTTTTGGGGGGGGGGTTTTTGGATTTTTTTGGGAAGTTTTGTGGTTTTAGTGAAATAAAGTGTTTTTTGGGGGGGTTTTATTATAAACCGCAAATAGCAATTAAAGCAGTTAATTAATATATTATGAGGTTTATGTGCATAAGTCCCTAACCAACAATCGTTATTATTAGGAATGGAAATGATTACGGGTTTGACGGGTCTTGGACCCGAAACTGAACCGTTTGGGACGGGTCTAGGTCGGGTAATGAGTTTAAGTTTCAGGAACCGGATGGTTCTGGGTCGGGTTACGGGTCTTACTGGAACCGACCCGTATATATATATATATATATATATATATAATTTCGAATTTTATTTATCAAACAATCAATTTCCACCTTGTCTATTTTCATTTACCTATTTTCACTGTTTTATTTTTCGAATCTCATTTCTCGTGAGTAATATTCATCACTTGTCGACAACCGCCAATTGTCTTGCATTTTAAATTTTATTTATTATCGAAGTTAAATATAATTTATTACGTAATTTTATTGTTCATGTTATATCATTTATAGAGATTTTTGAAAATATTGTATTTTGGTATTGAGATCATTTAAAAAAAATATATACAAGCAAAATGTTTTGAAAGTTAAAAAATATTAATTTTTTTGTATCTTAACGGGTCTAGCGGATCTGGCGGGTCAGAACCGTTTAATTAGAGTCTGGGTTGGGGGGGTCTGGGTCTAAGCTAAAACGGGTTGGGCGGATCTTGAGTTTATAAATTTTTCGCGAGTCCGGTCTTGGGTTTAGGCAAATCCGGCCCAGGACCAACCCGTTGACATCCCTAGTTATTATTCTAAGTTTATGGGCTATATTTCTTTCGCCAAAAGCCCATTCGTTTAATATTTATTATATACTCCCTCCGTCCTAATTTAAATGACGTTTTGGGTTATTGCACACGTATTAAGAAAATCAATAAATGTATATAGATTATAGTAAAAAGCATAGGAAAATACTTATATATCCTTGACATTAATTGTTTTACAACTAACTAATTATGAGTGATAAAGGGTAAAATTGAAAATAGTGCAATTAATGATACATTGAAAGTCTAAAATGACAAATAATTTGGGACAAGAAAAACTCTCTAAAAAGACATATAATATGGGACAGAGGGAGTATAAAAGAAAAATTCATGTATATGACAAAATTACACACAATCCTTTACACTCAATTCTTAATTGTAACCTCAATTAAATCAATTTTGACCACGAAAATTCAATTTCGACTTTTTTTTTCAAAAATTATTTTTTTGCCGCCGGTCTCCGGCGTTGACCTTTCGATTTTATTTATTTATTATCTTGTTTTATTTTTTTTTTGATCTGTTTTTTCCGCCGCCAGATTTCGGCGTTGACTTTTTTTTTTTTTTTTTTACGCCCGTCGCTAAATGTTGACCGTAATTGTGCTTCCATTAACGGTAAATATACTGTCACTGATAGTAAATTAGCGTATTTGTACTATCACTGACTGTACATTAACGTAATTGTACTGCCGTTGACAATACATTTATGTAATTGTACAGCCATTGACAGTACAATTAGAGTCAATGATAATATTATTATTATTATTGTTTTTATTTTTTTTTATTTTGTTTGATTAGTTGACAAGTCAACGTAATTATATTACTGTCGTTGACAGTAAAATAACTATAAACACAATATTATTATATATTTTTTTGGGTTTTTTTTTTTGTTTTGTGTAACACCCTGCGTCCCCGATAATTTAATTTTTCATTAATTAGCATCTATTTAGTTAACGTGATTTTATCTCTTATGTGCGTTTATTAGTTTAAGATTTTATTTATGTGATAACTGGTGAAATTTCATATAGAATGCATTAGTCTGAAATAATTTTGGACGAATTTAAATTGATCATCTTAGTTAATTATTAATCTAGAGATTAATTAAACTCCTTTGTTTGCTAGAACTTATTTGTTAGGAGAATTTTAAAATCACATATTTTCTTAAATAAAAATAGAAAATTCCTCCTATCATCCCTCAATTTTGACCATGGTACAACACAAGACCAAAATTTTCCTTGAGTACAACCCTTCTCTAGGTGAGCCCATGTACATTAAGATTTTCCTTTTTGAATTTCTTTTTGAATAGTTAAATGAAATTGCAAAGATGTCCCTCTAGATAATTCCTAAGTTTTCCTAAATTGCAAAAAGGTCACTCTCCAATTCTAAATCTTTAAGGTTGCAAGTCCCCCACTACTCTATAAATAGAACCCAAGCCTTCATTTATTTTCTCATCTTCTCTACACACATTCTAAAGATCAAAAATCAAAATCTCTTTCTCCTCTTCTCCCAATTTTCGAAATTATAGTGTAGGAAAGACCCAAAATCTCTTTCAAGAGTAAAATTCTAGGCCAAAGGAGTAAGTCTTCTTCCTCTTCTTTCTTTTCTTCATTTTCGAAAATTTCAAGAAACTAAGCTTTTTCTTCCCCCTCTTTCTAAAATTTCTTCTTCTTCTCCTTGTAGAAAGGAAAGAACACCCTTCCAATTTTCTAAGAAGATTAAGGTGAGAATTTTCGAATTCTTGCTACAAGTGCTTCAACACCAATAGTATTTTTCTTCTCTTTAATTTCTTGTTAATGTTCTTGTGGTGACCGAAAACTAAAGCAGAAAGAAAATAAAACTTTGTGTTTAATTTATGCTTTGATCATCCATGCATGTAAGAATCTAAGCTTTAAATGATATAATCTTGAAGAACTAAGAATAATATTGCAATTTTATTTATGTATATATATACTAGACCTGCGTGATCTTAAGGAAACTTCGATCCATGGTTTTTGTAAACCTGCGTGGTCGAAGAAAGTACTTGATCCATGGTTTATTTATAATCTATATGTGCTATATATATATAAGTATATGTTTCTATGTGTATATATATATCGACCTACACGGTTGTAAGTGTACTCCCTTCGGGTCGAGGAAGCTTACGATCCATGGTTTATGATCTATGAGTAATAAGATAATATACGAAGATAAAAACCGAGAAAAAGATTAATAAAAATGAATTTTTGTGTGATTGAATTGTTGATGGTTTGAATATTTTGGAAAGAAAATGAAGTAAATGGAAATTTGGTGCTACTTGAAAGAAAACTTCAAGTCTCTTGAGAAAGAGGGCTTGAACTTTAATTAATGAAACTTGGAGATAGTAATTATAAATAACTGAATGCTTTGAGTTGTTTTGCTATATGTGTAAATATGTGATCTATGTTCTTTGCTTGAGTTGTTATGTGTCTTACTTGCTTTTGTGATTTGTGACTAAACTATGTGCCTTTGTGAAATATGTGGAAATATGTGTGCTTATGTGAAAGCTAAATTTGAATATGTGAAATGAATAATATATACTAACTTCACTTGCACGTTTTTAAAGTTGGAAAATCTTGTAAAACATAGATCGAATAAGCACGGGGTATGAGGGACCGGTACCCCAAAAATGAGATGAAGAGTGTGTGGTTTGATTCCACTTATGACACGGGTTCCAAATAAATGAAGGCTTATTGTCTATGGTTTTACTTGATTTTCCAAAGGATATCCGAACAAAAATGTTTTTCTCACACAATTAATCAAGTTGCTTGAATTGAATGAAAGTATGTACTAACCTCACTTGCACGTTTTTAAAATTGGAAAGTCTTGTAAAACATAGATCAAATAAGCACGGGGTATGAGGGACCGGTACCCCAAAAATGAAATGAAGAGTGTGTGGTTTGATTCCACTTATGAAATGGGTTCCAAATAAATGAAGGCTTATTGTCTATGGTTTTACTTGATTTTCCAAAGGATATCCGAACAAAAATGTTTTCTCACACATTGTATGAGCACTTGAATGAATGTGTGTGTAAAAGAATGACGACTCCCTTGTGAGGGATTCACTCTTATTCCTTATGAAATGATGAAAAGAAGGTCTAAGAGGTAAAGTGAGAAGGTCTAAGAGGTATCCGAGAAGGTAAAGGTAAATTGGTGAAGCCCCTAAATGAAATGACGATTGAGGTAAAATCGAAATGTTTATACAGTGTATGTGTGTGATTTGAGATGGCATATATACA